TGTCTCTGATTTTCCTCCCCAGAGAAGTGCAGAGCCATCATCAACTGAAGGCTTCAGGTTGGGGCAGGGTGACTGTGCTGGTGACCCAGGAAGAGAGGCCCTGCCCAATGAGGAGTCACAATGGCAGGATTCCATATGGAGAACAGTGTGGTGGCTTTTATGTAAGGAAGCTGCACTGTGCAGGAGGCCCGCAATAGTCCTTAAGCTCATTGCTCCCTATCAAGCCTGAGAGTAGCAGAGTGGCAAAAATGGCAGGCTGTCTGTTACCTCCAGGAGCCACATCCCAGGAATATACAGAGCTGCTATCAGCCCGAGAGCTCAGGCAGGGATGGGCTGGCTGTGCTAGCATCCCACCTCAGCAGGCTTTGTCTGGCGAGGTATAGTGGAGGCAAGGCCCTCAGTCCATCTGCTCAACAGCACTGTGGATATGGTCCCTATTCTGAGGGCATGTGAGAGAGCCTGGCCTCCTTTGTTGGCAGAAACACAGCTGCTGGCATAGGGTGTTCAAGAGTCCAGTGCCCCTGGGATTTGGCATGTACCTGAACAGCAGCTCTGCTCAGGCTCCATGCAGCTCTTCATATCAGTCTGGAGGCCCCGGATGGAGCAGTTTGGGGAATTCCTGTGTCCAGGGTTGCAAAGTGTTGTGACAAAAATGTGGGACCTTGGAGGCTCTCACTTACTTGCTGTTTCCCTTCAATGAGGAGCCTACTATGGCTCTACGCCAATCCCAGGTGGGCAGCTGTCCTGTCTCACTCTTCCCTCTTTTCCATGGGCCATGCTGCTTCCTTGATGAATCCCAACATGTCCTCCTGGACAAGCCAGTTGATAAGGTAGGTGTTTACTCGCCACTCTATCTCCTCTCCACGACAGCAGCACACACTAGCTGCTTCTAATCAGACATCTTGGAACTCTCTAATATAGTTTTGAAAATCATGTTATTTAAATAAGATTTACATTGATTCTTCTATAATAGCAATTTACTTGCTTTCAAAGGAAATTCATTATTTTAACTACCAAAAGGAAGATGACTAAATAATTTGGACACCGGCTTCCTTTATTTTTTTGTCGACAATTAACAGTCACACAGCAATAATACCTCACATTCATTTTGTTTTTCACAGTTCACAAGATTTTTTATATCATAATATTCATTGACACTTCCTTGTTCATCTGAGTCCTAGTTTGCAAATACGTAGCTCCTCTGATAAGGCAGAAAACTGACAGGTGCGATGAAGAAAAATGATAAAAGGGTTGAGCTCTTTATTCCACACATTTAGAGTGAGCTTTTCCTCTGTAAAATCTTACTCCTTACCAAATTCCCTCCAGCATTTTTTTGCTTTTTTCTTTTCCATGTTCTTCCCTAACCTCCAAACTTTGTGTTTTTATTCTTTTCTAAATGTTTCTAATCTGTTTCATTCTTACATCTACAGAGGGATAGTTTTTGTTTTTATCCTCTGTTCTACTTTCTGATCTTAAAGTCTAATTCTAACTACTTTTATATTTATAACTTGTAACCTCGTGGATACTGTAACTTCATTAAAATGTTAAATGTTTTGTCTTTGTTTTAGCCTTTTAAATTTTATTTTACTTGCATGTATTTTATCTACTTTAAAATTATTAAAATTACTGATATTTTCATAAACTCTTTCCTTTTTATAAAAAATGTTTTAAAAAAAATAATGATCAGCAAAACATGGTAATCCATTCTAAAAATAGCTACTTCTCTGTCTCACTTTAATAAAAATTCATTACAAGAAAAGACTATTTTTTAAGATCTGTGCTAGATACTCAGGAGAAGTATATTTAAACAAGCTCCTAGTCAATAAGTCTTATAATGATGGTGATATATGATTTCTTTGTTGAAATGATTTTCTAGTAGTCCTTATGTCAGGAGTTTCTAAACAGCCATTGGATTTCAAGAAAATGATCCAAACCAAGTGTCATATGAGGAGCGGTAGAACCATAGAATTAATAGAGAAAGACAATTGGCCTTTAGCAAATTAAGCTTCTCTTACTACGCTTTTTTAGTTTTCGTATTTTCTAGTCAACTTTCCACTCTTTTTCAAGATAAAAGTAAACTTTGGTTACATAGTTTCCCCTAATTTTTTGTACAATTCTTTCCCTAATCTAAAATCAGAGCTATCTCACATAAGCCAAGTTCAAGACCAGCCTGGGCAACAATAGTGAGATTTCTCTACATAAAATTTAAAAATTAGCTGGGTATTGTGATGTGCACCTACAGTCCCAGCTACTCAGGTGGCTGAGGAAGACTGAGGCTGCAGTGAGCCGTGATCGTGCTGCTGCATTCCAGCCTGGGTGACAGCGTGAGACCCTGTCTCAAAAAAAAGAAAAAGAAAAAAAACAAACATTTTAAAAATTCTTTTGAACATATTTATAATAGTTTACATGAAATTTTTGTTTACTATATCCAACATCTGAGCCACCTCAGAGATAGTTTGTACTGACTTTTTCAAGATAGTTTGTACTGACTTTTTCATTATATGGGTCACATTTTCTTCTTCCTTTGCATTTTTCCTGAGGTTTTATTGAAAACTGGACACTTTAAATAATATGTTGTAGGTTTTCTGGATTCTGATTTCCCCACCCTCAGGAGTTGCGTTGTTGCTGTTTTCTGTCTTTTGCTTACTGCTTTTCAGGACTAATTAAATAAATTATGTCTCCCTGAGAGTGTGCAGCCACTGAAGTCTATGCTCTACTTTCAATTATTTTCTTCATTTTTAAGCCTGGCTTCCCATGAGTCACCCTAGGGTCAGTACACCTTGATGTCCACCCAATAATTGGGCTGGGGTTTTACTTAAATATCTTGGGTCAGTAGGGCTTCCACTTTTTGCTGAGGGGACCGTACATGGATTGGATCACATATTCAAACTTCAGGCAGTTTACAATCTGCTTTGACTTCCACTTTCTGTTTATGTAGGGACTTGTGGTCAGCCAAGAACCAGCAGATAACTGGGGCCATCTCTGACTTCTCCTGAGCATGTGAACAGATCCCCAAGAATGTATTAGAGCTTTCAAAGCCCAATATCATTGGCCATATATATCTTTTACATTTTCAGCTGGTTTACTGTTTACCCTAACCAGTATTGCTGCCTTTGGTAGCTGTGATGTTGGCCTTTTCCAAAGATTTGCCACTAATATTGTAATTGCTGTCCCAGGACTTTTCCAAGGAGCTCCAAATTAGAGCAAACACCTCAAATGGCAGGAAGACAATTGGCCTTTAGCAAATTAAAATTCTCATACTACTGCTTTTTAGTTTTCTTATTTTCTAGATCAAAGAAAATAGCCTTCTCTGTTACCAAGACATAGAGGACAGGAAGGGAAGAAAAGACAGTGGATACAGTCCCAAATTTAAATGTCACAGAGCCTACTCTTCTAGCCAATGTTCAATAACTCTTGAATAAATGCTTTCAATTTATTGTATGCCTTTACTTATTTTCCAGACTTTCAAAATAGTTGTTGACAATTCTGCCAGTTTACCACCACCTCTTGGAGGTAAGGATTTTCCATGTTTCTTGCTCTGCAATTCGAAAAGTTCCACCTTCTGATAAACTTTAAGAAGAAATAAGATATCTTCTAGGTATCTACTCAAATAGATGTTAGTCAGAAGTCTAAGATTGTTGCTAGGCATTATATTATTTTACATCCTGTCTAGCAATAATAATAAAATGCTCCATTTCCAAGAGAGAAGCATTGGAATTGGCCCTTTTTCTTTTCTTTTCTGGTATTAAACTTAAAAAAAAGCCTTTAAAACATTCATGTTTAAATTTTCTGAAGTGTTTTTAATAATTGTGTATTAATTTTTACCAATATGAAAGAGATTATAACTAACTGGCTTCTGCATTGTTACAATATATGTACATGTAATAATTTGATAAAAAATTAAATAAAAATCTGAATTAAATGTAACCAATTGGGATGATTGGTTTATGATCTGATTGAAAGAAAAACACAGAATAGAAACAAGTAAATAAATTTTGGATTTTATACAACATACACATTTGTTTTAGTATTAAACCAGTATAACAAAAGTGTGTGTATATATATATATATATATATATATATACACAAAACATTATAACAAAGGTCTATCAAAGTATTAAGGAGGGAGAAACTCATTTTTCCTGGGAATATAAGGTAAGATTTGAGAAATGTTTTTTTTTTTTATATATAATAGAGAAGAGAGAGAAGGACATTTTAAATAGAGGGATTAGCATTCTACTAAATTACAGGACTATAAAAATTACCTAATGTGTCAGGAAAGACCAAGTGGCTGGAATGTGGGGGAGAGAGGAATAAATGTCTAAGGAAATGGGATAGGAAAATTTAGTCAATGCTACTGTGAAGGATCTTGAAAGTCCTATTAAAAAGTATGAAATTCATCTACCAAGTAATCTGAGAAATGACTTGATACAATTTATATATGAGAAATACAATTCTGCAAACAACAGAAAAGATGAAGTTATGAATAGCAGAAGAGAAAACAAATGGAAAGTCAAATCATTATTTAAAAGTTGGTGTTTTTAAACTCCATAATATCTGTATTATAGACCTTGTTTCAGTTAGAAAAACAAAGATTTTCTTCATTTAATATTGAAATATTTTCCACAAAATATTATGTTTGTGGGACTATTTTTCAACTTCTAGAGTTCTCTTCTGGGTCACTTAAACATAATAAAAAGATAATGTTGATTCATACATGTCATCCCATTAAATGCTTGATTTCTTTCTGCAGAGAAAAAGTAAACATAAAATAATATAAAACTAAGAGAAATAGAAGGAAAGTACCTGGTGCCAATCGCTGACACTAGTCAAGTTATTAGCAAGGTCAGTCCTATTTTTTATCATCTGTAAAGTGAATAAGTTAGTTCAAAGACCTCAAAAGTTTCACCCAGATTTAGATTAAACCCTTTACGGGTATTTTCGTAAGTTCACTATTAGAAAATTACACAGGTCAACTTAGTTGGCTTGTTTTACTTTACCCAAAGGCCAGCAAATAAATCCTTGATACGAATTCCAAGTTCCAGATCTTTATGTTTTTTGTCAAACAAATGAAGCCGTTTACGTTTCCCAGCTCTTATCTGTGTTGAGCCTATATATTAACAAGTAAAAATATCTTATGACATATTCAAATAACTAAAACCCATATGTAAAACACACCTACACACCCTAATAAATTCAGTTAATCTTGAAAAGACAAATGAGCTATTTTTTAACAAGCTAAAGTCAATCTCATTAATCAAAAGACACAGTCTTTTTTTTTTTTTTTTTTTTTTTTTTGAGTTGGAATTTCGCTCTTGTTGCCCAGGCTGGAGTGCAATGGCGCGATCCCGGCTCACCGCAACCTCCGCCTCCTGTGTTCAGGCAATTCTTCTGCCTTAGCCTCCTGAGTAGCTGGGATTACAGGCACATGCCACCATGCCCAGCTAATTTTTTGTATTTTTAGTAGAGACGGGGTTTCACCATGTTGACCAGGATGGTCTTGATCTCTTGACCTCATGATCCACCCGCCTTGGCCTCCCAAAGTGCTGGGATTACAGGCATGAGCCACCGCGCCCGGCCAAGACACAGTCTTCTAAAACAGTATTTTCCTGAAGAACATTCTGTGATAATGAAAACTTTCCATATGTGCACAGTCCATTACTGTAGCCACTGGCTACATATGGCTATTAAATACTAAAAGTGCAGCTCCTATGACTGAGTGAATAAAATTTTAATTTATTTTAAAATTTAAATAGCCACACTTGGCAAACGGCTACCAATTTGCTCTAAAATATAAGAGAATAATCTTTGATACTATTAAAACTATTTTGTGCCAATGAAGTGTACTAAATAAGAAGAGTATTTGATTTATTTGACTTTACAAGTACTTTTCAGTGTTTTCAAGAAAATTTTAACAGTTATCATTGGATCTTACAACAATTCTGAGGTAGTCCATACAGTAAATGATGCATAAGTAGATTTAAATATGCTTCGGTTTACAAGACAACCTATGAACTCTAGATATAAAGCATTTTTAAAGGAAATAATGAGAACCAAAAATATGCACTAATTCTAATGAAATTCTGGGCCAGTTGTAGTGGCTTAGGCCTGTAATCTCAACACGTTGTGAGGCTAAGGTGGAAGGATAGCTTGAGGCCAGGAGTTCAAGACTAGCCTGGGCAACATAGCAAGACTTCATCTCTTAAAAAAAAAAAAAAATTTTCAAACTTGCTGAGCATGGTGGCATGCACGTTTAGTCCAAGTTACTCTGGAGGCTGAGGCAGGAGGATGACTTGAACCCAGAAGTTTGAGGCTGCAGTGATCTGTGGCCATACCACTGCACTCGGCCTGAGTGACAGAGGAAGACTCTATCTCAAAACTAAAGAAATAGGCCAGGGGTGGTGGCTCGTACCTGTAATCCCAGCATTTTGGGAGGCTGAGGCGGGTGGATCATGAGGTCAAGAGATCAAGACCATCCTGGTCAACATGGTGAAACCCCGTCTCTACTAAAAATACAAAAATTAGCCGGGCATGGTGGTGCACGCCTGTAGTCCCAGCTACTCGGGAGGCTGAGGCAGGAGAATCTCTTGAACCCAGGAGGCAGAGGTTGCGGTGAGCTGAGATCGCGCCACTGCCCTCCAGCCTGGGTAACAAGAGCAAAACTCCACCTCAAAAAATAAAAATAAAACAAACAAAAAAAACCCTAAAGAAATAGAAATTCTGGCACACAAATCAAATAATATTTGGCTATAATGCTGCTTTATTTGCTTAAATAACACTAGCATTTGACACTCTATCTCTATTACAAACGACTACAGCAAGAGGCATACTCATTTTTTTTAAAATGTAGTATAGTTATTTTCTGAGAAGAAGAACTATGGACGAAGAAACTATTATCCTCTAATTTAGTAAATGACATTTTATAGTCACCTGGCATATTGTTTGGAAAGCATGACAATGGGATTAACATACACCATGCAACAAGAGCGGCATAAAGAAAAATAATCCACCAAGTCCATTTCCAATCTGGATCATCATTGTTTGTAGTGCTTTAATAGAGAAAATGAAAAAAAAAATCAACTTTAGGTATTTTATTACAACAAAACCATAATCAGAGTGGAAAACCTGAGAGTGAGGGAGGGAGGGTTGGAGAGTGAGACAAATGAAACTTTTTGTTAATTTGTCACTATTGTTTGTTTTGTTGAAAGGGAGTAATTGTGAGTCCCCAATTATATGCTTCTGTTTTGTCTTATAGGATTCTAATTTTTCCCCTTTTCCTTCTTTTCCTTGGTATCACTTGGTAGACACAAAAGTACTCACTCAAATACTCACAAAAGGTACTTGTTTGTTCCTATTAAACTTTTCTTTCTTCACCAGAAGCTATATATTTGGAACACTATCTTTTTAAATCTTCTCTCTCCTTTAAAATCATTCTTAAAAATCAAGCACTTAGACCTTTATGGCAAGCCTGGCCCTTTATGTTGCACAACTGAAACCTTTTATGGCATTTAACCCTTTCAGTTACAAATACATTGAAATCCCTTTCTTCTAGTCCCTTCTCTGAACTCTCAGATTTAGTGTGAATGTATCCTTCTAGTTATTATTCCAAATTCACCCGTAGAACCCTTTGTTAACCTCTCTGTCTTCTGTCTCTCTGCAATTTTTATTCATCTGCCTTTGCTCACCATAAAGCCTTGCAGTGGGGAAGGTGATATGGGAAAGTAAAGGATCCTATGCTGGGATTTGTTATTATTCTCTTTTTAGTCATAATTATTTTGCAGTTTAAGCCTACTTTGTCTTCAGTTAATACTGAAGCCATGGATTTATGAGAATTTTGTAAAGCTATTCTGTCATTTAGGGAGGATATTAGGTGAAGTTGATTAATACATAGACACCATTGTCTTCCACTCTGCACACATTTAAGACCCCCTCCAAACAGCCATTGCGGGAAAATGCCTACATTGACAGTAAACATAGTTTTGGAAGTGCTGGGTTTTCATGAGTGTTTCTATTGCCAGCCAAGACCTGGTGAGTAACTTGCTTATAGGCCTTGTGTTTTATAGAATGTATACAGCCTTATTCACTGATGGGACAACTCATTATCCACTGCAAGCATTATTAAGGAATAGAAATTCCACTTTTCATAGGGTTGTAGTCTTTATTTCCATTACCCACTTGTCATACATATCTGCATATGCTACACTCAAGGACTTTCAATTCCAGATTGTTACTAGGGCTGCATGTTTCCTCATTGATTATCATATTCAGGAGTTTTTTTTTTTTTTTCACTTTTGAACCCAGCTATGCATTCTAACCGTATACATTATATTACATATGATCATTACACATGTATATATAATTGTGTACCCAGAAGAGGTAGGGAAATCAACTAAAAAAAAAAAAACCTATCAATTGGGNCATTACACATGTATATATAATTGTGTACCCAGAAGAGGTAGGGAAATCAACTAAAAAAAAAAAAACCTATCAATTGGGGAAAACAATATAAAGGTTACATATAAAATATGGAGATTCCACACACAATATTTTAAAAAGTATGAAATGCCTAAGAATAGGCTTAATGAAATATGTTCAATAAAGGAAATTATAAAATTTTATTGAAGGGTATAAAGGAAGAACAGAGAAAATAGAGTAGCATATCATATGTATGCAAAGATAACAGTCCTAATGTGGTCCATAAATTCAAGTAATTTAAATCAAAATGCTTTGATTAAAACCTGAGATTATAGAATTTAGATGGAAGAGTCATTTTGCAAACAGGGCCCCAATGTTGGATGAAAAACAATAATAAATAGGTACTTCTCCTACTAAATAGCAAACTATACAATAAAGTTTAAATAACTAAAACATTGTACTATTGGCATGGGAATAGAAATGTATATCAGGAAACAGATTACACGGAACAAGAAGAAAATCTATGGATACAGGTAAATTTAATTTATGATGAAGATGGTATTTAATATCCATAAAAATCACATAATGATACATAAATGCCATCAATGCAATTAGATATCATTTTGAAGAAAAAAAGAATCTTGGCCCATGTGTCTTACATGCAAAAATAAACTGAAATTGAAAGTTAAATATAAACATACAAACACATTTACAAAAGTACTGAAGAAAATATGGTCAAATATTTTAATAATGTTATAGAGCATAAGAACTTCTTGTCCTAGCCAGAGCAATTAAACAAGAAATAAAAGGCATCCAAATCAGTAAAGAGGAGGCCATAACGTTGCTGTTCACTGATAATATGATTATATACCTAGAAACTGTAAAGACCCATCCAAAAAGCTATGAGAACTGATGAATGAATTCAGTAGAGTTTCAGGATAATATATCAATGTACATAAATCAGTAGCACTTCTATACACTAACACTGACCAACCTGAGAAACAAATCAAGAACTCAATCTCTTTTACAACAGCTGCAAAAAGTAAAATAAAATACTTAGGAACATACCTAACTAAGGAGATGAAAGACCTCTACAAGGAAAACTACAAAACACTGCTGAAAGAAATCATAGATGACACAAACGGAAGCACATTCCATGCTCATGGATGGGTAGAATCAATATTTTGAAAATGATCATACTGCCAAAAGCAATCTATAGATTCAATGCAATTTCCATCCAAGTACCAATGCCATTAGTCACAGAACTAGAAAAAAAAACACTCCTAAAATTCATACGGAACCAAAAAAGAGCCTATATAGCCAAAGCAAGACTAAGCAAAACTAACAAGTCTAGAGGCATCACATTACCTGATTTCAAACTATACTACAAGGCTATAGTCAGCAAAACAGCATGCTACTGATATAAAAATAGATACATATTCCAGTGGGACAGAATAGAGAACTCATAAATAAAGCCAAATATTTGCAAACAACTGATCTTTGACAAAGCAAATGCAAACCTTAATTGGGGAAAAGACACCCTATTCAACAAATGGTGCTGGGATAATTAGCAAGCAACATGTAGAAGAATGAAACTGGATCCTCATTTCTCACCTGATACAAAAATCAACTCAAGATGGATCAAAGACTTAAATTTAAGACCTGATGTTATAAAAACTCTAGAAGGTAACATTATAAAAACTTTTCTAGATGTTAGCTTAGGCAAAGAGTTCATGAACAAGAATCCCAAAGCAAATCTCAAAAGAAAAAAAAAAAAAAAAAAAAGTAGATAAAATCTAAACAAAATGCTTCTGCACAGCAAAATAAATAATTAACAAACAAACAACCCTCAGAGTGGGAGAAAATATTTGCAAACCATGCACATGACAAAGGACTATATCTAGAATCAACTAGGAACTCAAACAAGTCAGCAAGCAAAAAGTCCAATCAAAAAGTGGGCAAAGACATCAATAGACCATTCTCAAAAGAAGATATACAAATGGCTGAGAAACATGAAAAATGCTCAGTATCACTAATTATTAGGCAAATGAAAATTAAAACCACAATGAGATACTACCTCACTCCTGCAAGAATGGCCATAATTTAAAAATAAAAATTAGTAGATATTGGTGTGGATATGGTGAGAAGGGAACACTTTTACACTGCTGGTGGAAATGTAAATGAGTACGACCACTATTGAAAACAGTATAGAGATTCCTTAAAGAACTAAAAGTGGAACTAGCATTTGATCCAACAATCCCACTACTGGATATCTACCCAGAGAAAAATAAGTCTTTATATGAAAAATATACCTGCACATGCATGTTTATAGCAGCACAACTTGCAGTTGCAAAAATATGGAACCAGCCTAAATGTCCATCAACCAATGAGTAGATTAAAAAAATGTGGTATATATACACCATGGGATAGTTACTCCCCTGTAAAAAGGAACAAAATAATGGCATTTGCAGCAGCCTGGATGGAACTGTAGATCATTATTCTAATGAAGTAACTTAGGAATGGAAAATCAAACATCATATGTTCTCAATCCTAAGTGACAGCTAAACTATGAGGATGCAAAGGCATAAGAAAAGTGTAACGGACTTTGGGGACTAGCAGAAAAGGGTAGGATGGGGGTCAGGGATAAAAGACTACACACTGGGTAGAGTGTACACTTCTCAGGAGATAGATGCACCAAAATCTCAGAAATTACTACTAAAAAACTTCTTCACATAATAAAAAAAAACCCACCTGTTCCTCAAAAACTATTGAAATTTAAAAAAAAAGAACATCTTAAGCAAGAAAGAACATTAAAAGTTTATGAAAAGAAAAATATTGACATATTTGATTATATAAAAACTTTTAAAGTTTGTATAATAAAAGATACCATATGCAAAGTTTAAGGACAGGTTGGGAGAAATTATTTGTCACAGATCTAGCAAATAATTAACATCCATAATAATAAGTGAAGAATTTTTATAAATCTATAAGAAATAATGAACCAATATAAAAATAAGAAAGGAAATAAGCAGCAAATTCAAACTTAAAAAATACAGAAGGCTAATATACATACTGAGTCCTAACAATACATTCTCTTTGAGTAATTTAATAAAAGGAACTATAAAGTGTAAAGAAATCCGTATAGGAAAAGATGGTATTCTGGATCTCGCAACAGAAGAGAGCCATTACCACCTGAAAAGGTGCCTGAAGAGGCAAGAGGAGACAGAACTTAAGTGAACTATACAGGTGGTTGTATCTGAGAGTCATAAGACAAATGTAGCCTTTATTAAAGAGACACCACCAAACCATTGAGATTCATCAGGAAAGGAGAGGAAAGAATAAATATCCAGATTTAAGTTTCCTCATGCTCTCAGATCTCTTGCCAATGCTCTTCACAAGCCAAACCTAAAATTAAGCTAGATGATAAAGGAGCCCATTAATATTGTCTGTAATAGGTCAACCTCCTTAGGTACAGAGCAGAGTGGAGAAAAGTAGAAAGTGGAACAATCGCAGCAAACTGATGCTATCCAACCCAATCCATCACTTTTGTACCTCAAAATCTATTATTGTTCTTTGCTGGAAAAAAAAAAAAAAAACCTGGGTGAGTACAGTTCTTGAGATAGATACACCAAAT